GGGTAAGGTGAGGACCAGACACTCAATCTGAAGTGAAAAAAGAAGTACTTGGATGTGACTGTAGCTTTGGTTTCACTGAATAGAAATATTTGGAAATAGAGATGCTGAAAGGGAAAATACAAAGAAATTAAATTAAAGGCGTTTTTAAGAGTTTAAACTATAAGATAAAGGAAAATGTTAGGTCTTTGATTTAAATTAATATTTCACATATGATACGTTTCTGGCATGGTTGCTATGAAAGGAAATGAGTCTGCTCGATAAGCACCATAGTGTCAGTTGTGAAGGACGGTAAGTGTGAAAGATGTTGAGAAGAAAGTTAAAAGAACTAAGTTTAGCTTGATAGCAGGATACTGGAAATGGAGGTGTTGGAGAGCCAGTCAAGGCCAAGGGTGAAGAAGACGGGCAGAAAAGCAGGTTAGCAGTGTTCATGGTCAATGACTTCTTGAGAAATTCAGGTGCCATGCTCTGTTACTGGGGTGGCTACTAACCCTTGGGGTTAGTTTTGAGACTTCTGATTGATTAAGCCCTTGTGGGCATTGCTTTTGCCTGTTCCCCTGCCCTCCTGTCCAGAGTATTATTCATACTCTGAAAAAAAAGAAAAATCTCTTCAGAGAGAGGAGATGTGCTTACCGGTTTTCCTTTTCTTGGTTCCTCATTTGGGACCTTCAGCTAACTCTGGTGCTGACTCTGTTGGTTTTAACTTTCTGAGCCAAGAGCAGTAAGTAAAATACTGTGGAGTTCAAGGGTTTTAGTTTTTTTCACAGTTTTTTCTGAAATTCTGAAGATCTTTAATCAGATATTTTTAAACTCACTGCTGTCTGGAAAAATACGGAGTTTGCCGTAGAGTTGCTGGTGGAGTAGCGCTGGAGAGGACCACTGTATTGATTGATGTTTGGAAAGTTAAATTTGCAGCTGTAGTCTAGAACACTTTTGAAGTGAGTCAGTGAATGGAGTTATAAATCACCAGTAATTGCAAAAGAATGCACTTAGGTTTTGCCAAACAAATTAATTTTTCAATACTAAAAACCGCTATTAGTAAAATAACAATTAAAAATTAAAACTTTTCATAACCTATAAACTTAATTATTGTCTTCTGAGAGCCTATAGTGCGTGACTACATTGTTATTTTGTACACAAATTATAAAGACTGTGCATTGTCTTCCCGGAACTTTCACAAGCAATGGATCGTAATTTTAAGTCTTAGTATTTACTAAGGTGTTTTGATACAGTGCTGCAGCACTCTTGCACAGCTATGGGGTTTCTGCAGAAACATTGGGAAAGCATTGCTCCCTCCTCTCGGTAAATCATAATAATGTAAAAAAAATCCAGAGTAAATGGCACATGGTTAGTGTGTGTTTCTGCATTTCTAGGCATTGAAATGTTGTATTTGTGTAATGTGGGAAGGCTGTTTTGGTGCAGGAGAAAGTGTTTAAAGGTAGTTCACACCCTGTATAAAAAAATCATAGTTCTTTGTTGCAAAGATTATGTACAAAATATCGGTGCTTTTTTTTTTTCTTCCTCTAAGAGTGCTAGTCAAATGTTTTTCCAAATTTTGATATGAATCAAGTCAGTAATACCTTCTACTGAGATACCAGTAACTGAGAATGATAGTCCTGGACTACTTGTCTTTCAGCAGTAATTTTGGGATGATGAGAATGGTGTTCCTTTTTTTCTTTTCCTTCCACTAACCAGAGAATGTGGTTGACTCTTAAAGAGATTTTTGAATCCGTTGCAGGAGTAGGTGACTACAAACATTCAGGAGAAGTGTCAGAGTAGTAACTGCAGCAGCTGTTGGGAGTTGGCCTCTGCCTTCTTGCTAGATCCCTGCTTTGTGCTGTGTCTGCAGGAGGAAGGGATACTTGCTTCCCATGACTGCATATTTATCTTATTGACAGCTGGTAATTCCTTTGGAGTCCTGCCTTCAAGTGTTTTCTTTCCAGAATACAGATTGTTTCTGCTTTTCTAAAGTAAAGAGTACTAGAGAAAAGGGCAGACTGCAGTTGTTATGTTGCCTTCAGTCAGCAGATTTCACTGAAAATACAATTTGCAATTCTGTTTCTCATTGTAAACAAGTATTGAGACTGTCTACAGTAAATCAGTTGTAGCAGATCACTTAATAGTTTTAATTCTGTGTGGTTAAAATGCTCATAGTGGGAGTTTAAAGCGGCAGGCGATCTATAGAACTACAGATTTAACACCATGTGATCCAACTTTGCGGAAAGATGAGCCCTGACAGAGGTTAGGGAAGCTGAATGTTGCTGTTACAAATCTCTTTACTCTGAGCTGTTTAGAAATTTTTTTTTGAGATAACCAAATGGAAGTTCTGAAACAGGCAGAATGATACTCCTTTAATCCTGAGCTGTTCAAGCAGCCGTGAACAATCAGCTAGACCTACATAGCAGTCAAAGGTGCAGCTGAAATATATTTAGGTGGATCTGGCTAACAGTAGCAGTGTGGGTGGGGGTTTTTGTTTGTTTCAGGGTAGACTATACAAAACTACTGTGGTCTTTTTATATATTTATATATATACACACACACAGACACACATAAACTCTGCTGCCAGCCTATCTCTAATATCTGTCTGTAGTATTACAGCTGTTCTTGTTAGCTGGTTTTGTGTATCCTGTAGGTTTCTAAATTCTCTGGTCACAGGGATAGGAAAAATGTACGGGTGAGAGCATGGATAAATACAAGATTTTTTGCAGCAGTGTTGCTGATGTTCCTGTTATTTCTCTCCCCTTCAGTCAGTGTGAGAGTCAAAGGAAGGCCTTAGAGGTTTAATTTTAAAAGGAGATTCAAAGTATGGTCTTCAGGATACCTTAGAGGCCATTGTCAAATGGTATCTTTAATCACAGCTTGATGTTTCTAGCCCAGTTTCTCCGACAAACCTTCCATCCTACTCTTGCCTTCCCAGTATTTCTTGAACAACCTTTACAGACAGGCAGAACTCAAAGATGCATAGTATCTACTAGTTTGGTGAAAATGGGCAACTGATTGGAGACCAAGCTGGTGTTTAGTAGCCAACAGTGTGTGTATAGCTTGGTCAGAGCCTACAGCATTAATCTGAGCTGTATTCAGCCCAGAAGTCAGGGGAAGTGGGGCTGCTATGCAAGAGTATGGCAGGTGGAACGTGAGGTCTCAGGAGGATGGAAAGGACCAGGGTACTTATGTTACTGTGGTAAACATAATGGGGTAAGAGTTGCAAACGGAAGACAGTTTTATTATCTGTTCACAAAACAATTATTTTCTCCATACTAGCAGTAAATCAAAAGGGATGTCTTTGCTGTATGCATATATGCATGTGGGTTTTGTTGCATTCTGTTTCAGAACATAGTTCCAAATATGTACTTTTTTGGATAAGCAGCTTCCAAAGATCTGTCGGTTGCTGAAGTAATCAGTGCGTAAAAGACTCACGGTATTTGTACACTCAGGAAAGTTTTTTAGGTGGTCATAAAATTTCTATAAATTTAAAATGTCTGTAGATTGGATGTTCTAAGTTTTTCATTATTTTTATGCATGAGTTTTTCCTGGTACTGTGTTCTGTTACATGCCTAAGTTTGTTTCTTTTTCAGAGATCGGAATGGGACTAACAGGCTTTGGAGTGTTCTTCCTTTTCTTTGGAATGATACTCTTCTTTGACAAAGCTCTTTTGGCTATTGGAAATGTAAGTGCCTTCTGTTTAGTCTCAGACTCTGCACTGCTTAGAATTAAGTATATGATTTATTAAAAATGAACTGAAAACAGAACAATATATTGTCAGTTTGAAATTGGATTACAAAAATACTGTGGCAGTTGGGTACAGGGAGAATTATGCTCAGTGATAGGAGCGAATCATTTTTCCTGATTAAAGTTAGAACAGCTCACATGAATCTAAATATCATACCTTCAGGTCAGACCTGCGGGATGTTGGTCAGGCAAGAAGCAGCTTGTCCCACAGTTGTTATGCTGCTGCAAATGGGATTTTTAGGTTGGCCATCATTACTAATGCTTTCTACTTTGTGGTCTTGTAAGATAATGGTGAAATTTAAGTATATATTTGGGTAAGAATAGTGAAGCGTTTTGTACATGCTAGCAAATGTAGCTTTGCTGTGCTTTGTGAGGAAAGAAAGAAGTACGAATTGCTGATAGTCTGGGTTTAGAAGAGCCAATCACCCTGCATGCTAGAGAGATTTAATATCTTCAGTTTTTACCAAATCCAAGTTTTCACTTAAAGCAGCATAGAAAATAAATCTTAGTTCTTGTACATGAAATTCCCAATCCAAAGCAAATATAAAATGATGGTGTGATAATCTCTGTGCCTCTGCTGTTCTCGGCTTTTACAGCCAGCCAAGAGCACAACCTGGCAGAGGCTCACATCTTCTTTTGCTGATGCCTAAAAGTCTGTGGTCAAAACTGATCAGTTTCATTCTGTTGCAGCAGAGTCAAATACTGAGATTCACTGAAGGAAAATATTACAATTATATCTGAATTTGGGTGCGTTAGTTGAAGCATTGTTCTTAACCATCAATGAAGTGTATAGTGGAAGTGTAAAAAATAAAATAATGCTTATTTTTTCTTTTCCTAATGTAAGGTGGAAATAAGAGGTCCTGTTTAGGGAAAGTGATGAAACATAGGTAGGAAGAAACAATGACACTATGTGGTAACCAAAGCTAATGCAAGAAAAGTACTGTAACCTTACAGCAAGTTTTAAAAAAAAAAAGTTATATCAGAAAGAGGAAAAGGTGGTAAGAAAGTGGTTTATTAACATACAAAACTGAAATTTCATCTGTAATCATGAGTAAAGTCTGAGATACTATTCCCTTCTCAGCAAAAATGTTGCCCAGATGTATGCTTACAAGCTGAAATAATTACAGGTCCTGTTGTTAAAGGACACTAAAAGTAATTCTAACTAGGTTGGACTAGTGTGATAGTGTTCAGTCTCTACTGGAACTAGTAAAAAGTCTATACACAGTGTAAAAAAAAAAAAAAACCCACGAACAAAACCCCCCACAAACCTGACTAATAAGATAACTGATGATGCTCTTCAGCTTTTTTTCCTTTTTTGGCTTTGTACTGTTCAGTAGATCAGTACAAGCTGTTGAAGATGTCCATGGTACAGAACAGAGGCGAGGTGCTTTTGTAATATGTCTGGTCTCAGTTTTTAGCAGCCTTTGCTGTCAGTGGTACTAAGCTTCAGCACTGCTTGTGGATAATGATTGCACTTACATTGCAGGACAGATATAACTGTTGTCACCAGGTCTTTTGCCATGATTGTGTTTGTCAGAGACCACAAAGGTAGACTCTTTACTCTTTAAGCATCTGAGAGAAGAGTTTTGGATGCTAGCTGCAAATGCTTTAAGATGGACTTTACAAAAGACAATCACTAGTAAATTCTTCTCACCATCTGTCTTTTGGTATTAAAATAAGTTGTGCAAGAAACGCAATCTGATTTCATAGAATGTACGTATGTTTAGCTCCTCAACTTGGGAATATAATTTGCTATTTTCTTTCTTTGGTTGTTTTTTGTCTTTTCTAGGTTTTATTTGTGGCTGGCTTGTCTTTTGTAATCGGTTTAGAAAGAACATTTAGATTCTTTTTTCAAAAACACAAAATGAAAGCGACGGGCTTTTTCCTGGGTGGCGTGCTCATAGTTCTCATTGGTTGGCCTTTAATAGGAATGATCCTTGAAATTTATGGGTTCTTCCTATTATTCAGGTAAGACTTATTTCAAAATACCTTTCTGTATTAGTGTATCCGGCAATAAATGTATTCATTTAGTGTTGCCGCATTACAGCTGATAAAGCGGCATCCTTTCAATGTTTGCTTTTGCTAGATTTTGTATAAAGTTGTTGATTCACATTTGCAAGCGGTGGAAAGTTGGTAAGTGTTTTTCCAAGACTCAAATCTGCTCATATTTGTGAGACGTATACCAAACTGACTTTGGTAATGTTGTTTATGTCTAACCAAAGAATTATAAAGCTTCAAAATATCTGGGAGCCCAAATTGTTAGCAGTGCAAATTTTAAATACTCCCTCATAAAAAAGGGCAACTTAGATACTTCGGGTTTTTTTGGTGGGGAGTTTGTTCTTTTCTTTAACAAATGGGGCAAAATACTTTGTTACAAATGTCCTAGGTCTGTAACCTTAGCATTTTATTACTATGGAAGCCCAGTGAAAAGGTGTTTTCTGTCACGTTTCGTTACGCTTGTGCCCTAGTGTAGGGCTGGATTTGGTTAGCATTATCTCAACTGAGTTAAGGAAAGATGAAAAGTCTTATGTATTTGAACAGCAATCTTGGTACATGTTACAGCTTTCACAGTGTGTCATTTAACTTCTTCATAATGGAATTGGAATGGTGAAAGAATTTGACTTGTTACAGCCTGTATATATCTATATTTTTATCTTTATTTCCATGGTTGAAGTTCCATACTTCACTGTAGAACAAAGTACAAAATATGTTACTAAGTAAGAAGGGAGGCCTGTAGTTGTTCTTGGACTTCTGTTCAGATGGAAACTGTTTCGGTAATGACTATTAATCTAGTAACAGACCCCTAAAACATCTTCAAAGTGTTCAGCTGCTAGCTAAATAGTGCAGTTCCCATTAATCAAAATCAAACCACTGTTCTCATGGCCCTCCCTTTTTCCACTCAGTAAAACTATCTACTAATGTGGTATTTAGTTATAGATAAGATTTTTTTTTCAAAAAAATATTTAAACATTTTGACTTGGCTCCTACTGAAGACAGATTTATGAGAGCTGATTTTGATATGCTGCTTATTGTTCTGCTCTGTATTACTCTGAACTCTATCACTGCAAGTGTTTTGAAAACAACAATATGTCACTGAATACGTTGTCGCTGCTTGGATGTAGCGCTTGGGTTTAATCAGCCAGTACAAAGCAAGTAGAGTGTTTCCAACCAAAAGCCCCTCCTTTTAAAAGATCTCGGAAGAATTACGAATTACCGTGTCTATGCAGGTATGGTTATGGATCATCTATTGGTGCTAGCCAGGGACTAGCAGGGTAAAGTAACGTTGAACAGATTATAGAAGGTCAGTACAGTCGTCCCTAGGTCACTAGGACCATCCCTTAGCCAGAAGAGTATCAACAAGGGATTGGTAATTCCCAGGTGTGAATGTTTATCTGATCTGTTTTAATTTAAAACATCTCTAGATTGTCTTTTCTAATAGTTCTTAGAATCTAAATCCCTTGCTACAATGTTAGGTAGTTACTACTTCAAACAAAGCTTTTTGTTTTGCTTTAGTCTTGGCCATTACCCTGTTTTCAGCAGCTTGCTCCTTTCTGAAGAAGTTAAAAATGGAGCCTTTCCTCAAACATCATTTTATATGATTCCTCAGGATCCTGCTATTTGGCTGCGTGACAGAAAACTACTGTGGTTATCATTGGTCTCTGAAGTACATACATTTCTAAAGCCCAAGGAATATCAGATCAATTTATGCACCTTTGTATTTGTTCGGGAAGTATGTTGTGAGGATGGGCATTTCTGTGTATCCTAATGGTTAGGTCATGTGGATTACCAGGACTTTTGTACGGAAAACCTTTATATTTAAAATCAAGGGCAGTTTAGCAGTTCTAGTAACTTTACTTCAACTCATAACAAGTACGATAGTACAAGTGTAAACCATTGTATTGTACTTTTTTCAGTCTCTTGATTTTTAGACCACTAAACCAGTTCCACTAGGTGTTCAGATCCCTCTAGTATCTTTACTTGTAGATTGTTGTCTTGCATATCTGTTTTACAGTCACCTTTCATAGTCCCTGTAGCAGTAATTGCAGAGACCCTGTTGCCCACAAAGTAAGGGTGGACACAAAGCACTGGTGACCAGGAACATTTAAAGGAATGACAGGATTGCAAAGATTTTTATTTTTTTTAAAGATGTGTCTGACTGAAGTGAGAGACACACGCAATTATTATTTTACTCTGGTTTAAATCTAGAATGGCTTTGCCTTCTTGTCTTTATTTAACATGCTGCCACAAGTTTCCCACCGGAGGTGTAGTCTTCTGCCATACTTTCACATGCTCAAACCTCATTCACTGCAGAAGGTTCTTATGGGACGGTATCTCTTGTTGTCCTCTAAGCTGCTTTTGGAGCCTTGTTCAGATTACAGGCACCCACAGTTACGGCTAACAATGTCATCTTTCCTGTACTGACTGTTCCTTATTCTTGGCTGTGTCAGTGTTTTAATCTGTTACAAGTGGTTTGTGGGCCCTGCATCACTATTTATTGGACCACTGGAATAATCCGGCCTTTTAAAAAGAAGATGGGCAGGGAAAACTTGCTGGTATTGATATTACCCAGCAAATAGTTCTTACCAGTGTAGTGAAGAGGATGATCAGTTGTGAAACCTCCCTGTGGCTGAGGTCTCATTACACGTTAATCCTCATTCTAGGCAGGGAATGTGTAGCTCAACAAGAGATCTGAGTGTCACCACCAGCTGAATTGCTGCAGTTGACCACAAACAGCTGCAGTACTGCCGTAGAAAACTTGTTTTCCTGCTGCAGAGATGAAGTGGGCAGTGCAGGGGGCTACAGCATAGCCACAGTGCTAGGCCGCATCCCCTGGGTCACGATTGAAATCCCCGACTTTACGTGAATTAGTGAAATAAGTGAATGCACAACTCTGTTGTGCTTAATTGTCTTTAGTCAGTGTAAAAAGTACCATATATGGTTTACTTGGTCAGAATTAGCTTCAGTTGTTTTTACGTTGGGTATTGCAAGGATGTATTTCCTATAATATAAAAAGTGTCTCAAAATATGTATGGTAATTTTGAGAAATCAGTTGGAAGCATCAGTTCTGTTGACTAAGTTGGGTATTCTTTTTTTAGTTATTTTTTTGAAGAGCTGGCTGAGGGTTGCAAGCTATGAAGAAAATTAAGTCCATTTAAAAATAAGGTGTTTCTTTCCTGTTTTTCTCCTTTCTCTGCTGAATGTATGTTGATATATTTGGTAAAATTAATGTGCTGCTAACAAGCTACAAGATTTTATGTAAACCTGGTTTAAAAAATACCTCTTATTTCTTCATTTTATAGCAATATGGGAATAGTTTAATTATAAAAACTAATACAATCTTCTGTTATCTGATCTAAAGGGGGTTCTTTCCTGTGGTTGTTGGCTTTATTAGAAGAGTTCCAGTTCTTGGATATCTCTTGAATTTACCTGGTATAAGCTCGGTAAGTGTTCAGTACTTTATGCAAAATTTGAAGCTTGTACTGTTTTTTATTCCATTGTCATAGTAATCGTAGAAATGCATCAGAAATAAAGCAAATATGACTTTAGAACAGTGACTTTGAGTGTATTCCTGTGTAGCTCTTGCACCATACAGATCGCCTTCATTCCCAGTGAGAGGATTCTAGATGTAAAAGGAACAAAAGGACACCTTTGCAGAAGCTGCCCCCACTTAGTGTTGTCAAGTGGAAAGAGCCCTGGACTGTGACGCAGAATGATGGGGTTCTGCTTCCTGCCTCCCTCTTGGCCCTAGGTGACCATATAGGTGAATCATGCCACTGTTCTGTGCCTCTTCTGCTGTCTGTATGACGAGGAGGACGCTGTTCTTCTCTGGGTAGCGTTTGGAAGTATTTATGAAAAGTGGCCTGTGAAAGCAAATGGTTTAGTTCAATGCTGAGTTGCAGCTTGGATGGCAAATCCAGAAGCTCTTGTGGTGCATAATCATTCATCAAACGCATTTAAGGTCCAGTGCACCAGACTACATCTTGCTATTTATTAAGATTGGGATTTTTTCAAATGCAGTTTTCCGTTTTCTTAACCAAATAGGCAGGGTTTTGAAGACAATTACCATCTTTCTGGCACCTGTTAATCTAGAGTGTTTCAGTCAACTACTTTTACTGTGCTAATTTCTATATGTATTTTAACACAAGTGTGTTTAAGCTTAGTTTTGAAAGCAACAGTTTTGAGAGCTACTACTAAAAAATTAACAGGGGGTGTAACTCAGATGTATACAGGCTGTTTTTTTAAAAACAAGTGTTCGAGATCATCTGTTCCAATCTCACAGTTAGGCCAAGTTCTGGCTCATAACTCATGATCAATTGAGTGTTTCATTTGTCAATTGATCTTACTTAGTCATATTTAATTTGATCATAATGGGGTTAAATCTTGTTTTAGAAAGATAATTGTTAATGTTTTATTCAAAGCCTACGTAGGCTCAGAAGAGAATCCACAGTAATGGTCAGTTGAAATATCTTATTTGGTCTACTAATGCATGTGTGGCTGATACTGTATTGTTTTGTTTTAATCATTAAGCTAGCAGTGTTATCTGCGTTTTATTTCCTTTTTCATTCTGTTGCATCTTCATGTTGCACTGTTAATGTCGATATGAGAAAAACATGTCATGCAGAAACACAATTGCAATGTAAGATTTTTAATTTTCACAAACTTAAATCATGAGACCTTGGTGAGTACAATTTGACTCTCATTTTCAGTCGCATACTAACTGTGCAAGTAGCAAGTAATATTTGAGAGTAACTTCGGTGTACGTAAGTGTCATGCAACTTAACCTTTTTGTCTCCTTTTCTGCAGCTTGTAGATAAAGTTGGAGAAAGCAACAACATGGTATAATGCAAGAGGGCAGAAGACTGATTCTAAACTTACTGTATTATTTATAAAGTCCTTTTGAAGAATACTCAGCACAAAGATTAAGTTGTGTACAAAGGAAAAGCTTGTTACATTCTTTACATAACAGTTTAATTTAAAATGTATAGTCAACAATATACATTAGGAAAGAAGCTCAGCAAGTACGCTTCTAGGAAAGTAACTCCAGAGTTCAGGAAGTAAACTGAAGAGGTGAAAGTCATGGAATAACCCATGTTACAACTGTTCAAGACTATTTTTGTTGGTTTTGAAAAACACGCTAGAGGTGGTGAACCCTTGTGGAATTAACGGTGCCTGTACTTTACGTCCTTATTTTGAAGGTGCAGTAGAGCAAACAGGCCTACATTTTTAGGGGTGACCCAAATTTATCCAGCTCTCTGCTTGCTATCCTCAGAGTGGAGGGGGGCAAAAAAAAAAACCCCCACAACGAGAAAAAAAAAACACTCAAAACAACCCAAACAGAAAACTTCTTGTGTAACAAGAGATGGGTCTTTGCATGAAGGTTAAGATGGCTGTTCATCTTCAAGTGTATTACGACAAAAAAAAGAGACCCTACATGGTTCTGTTGTAAACATTTTTGTAAATACATGGCTGAAATAAAACATTGTTATCTTAATGTTTCAAAGCCAAATGTAAGTTGATTGTATTTGCCTTCCGTTTCGGAATATGCAAAAGGTCAATCTTTATTAACTTCAGTCTTAAATGTTGGTTCTGAACAGGTAGAGCTCAACAGGGAACTCTGGAACCTGACTTGCACTCCTTCCAGTTTGTTCTCCTTGAATCATGTTACCAGTGCATCCAGATGAGAATGTAGCCCCTTGTCACTAACACGAAAACTTTGTGAAATACCCTTAGTTCACAAAAAAAGCACGTTTGGTTAAGGTGCTGACATGAAGCCTGTGAAATGTATCTTATCAAAATTTGAAACTTTGTTTTTAAATAGTTCGAAGCTAAAGTTTCTTTGTTTACTCTGGAACTACAAATTGACTTTTTTACGGTAATAAAATTAAAACTTAATGTTCTGTGTATGTGAGTCTCTGGGGAGAAAGTTGGGCTAATGGGGCTAACTAAAGATCAAGTGCCAATCTCCATATGTTTTGTAACTTGTTGCTTGGGTTATCTTCAAATAACTTAAAACTTCTATCAGTCACAGCAGCGACTTTGCTGTTACAGAGGTTCTTTGCTAACCTGGAATAAACGTCCCCTACTAATGCAAGGGTCACATTTCTCCTTTTATTGGGATGTTAAACATTGTGCACTTTCAATAGATGTAGTTACATAGTGTCCTCACCTAACAACATGTGATCATTAAGTAAATTGTATTTGTGCCGGATTTGGGGGTTTCTGTTGTGGTTAACTTTCTTTTTCCTTAAATGTAATCCTAAAAAAATTACCAAAATGCGATGGTAGTATTTCAAGTAGCCATGTAGTCTTAAAGGTCTAATGATTGTTTTTTTGGTTTGGTGGTGTTTTTTTTTTATGATGCAGTTAAAATTGGTATTTTCCAAAATAACTTAAGAATTCTTATACACGAACCCTTTGGAAGTTGCTATGAAGTTTATTTGTACAAGACGTGTTTTATTTTCATTACGACTGTATAAATAGCCACTACCTGCTATTCCCAATGTTTCATTTGCTTCCTTCTCCAACAGGCACAAAATGATTCAGTGAAAAAATGCCATTATATTTGCAATGAATAGCATCTGAAAAATCAGTGGGTTTATTTTATAAATGACCAAAAATGGGTATAATTTGCTTGATGGCGTGTGTGTTATGGTTTACAGACAGGACTAAATATGACTTGTGGCTTCTACCTCAAGAGATAAACCAATTTTAACTGCTCCCATAGGTCTGTTGTGTGTTAAAACGACTAGAGAATAATACTACAGCAGTTTAGCAAACTCGTCTTGTTTGCTTTGGTAAAGCACTAGTCTGGACCGTGGGCGTGCAGTACTGTTTAAAGCAGAGAGCATTCATCATTCACATTAGGAGTCAGCTACATGAAGATTTTCGTGCTTGTCTTTCGAAAAGTAATGTGGTGGGAAAGGTGGATTGCACCGCATGACTACGGAGCTCTGACTGAAAGCAAACTGCTTGTGTAAGCTGAAGTACCTTCTTCAACGAGAAAGCTGATGATACCTTTCAGAGGTGACAGATGTGTTGCTGCGCGTGATCTTTTAGCCCTCTGAAACGCCGGGACGTAGGCAGTTCATCTCACTTCTATTGAATTCATTGTTTTAAATCAAAAGTCAATTTTTGTCAGATGTGAACTGTTGTGAAAAGCGTCTGAGGGAACAAAATTGTATGTTGAATTTAGCATAGTCTTTATCCCTCAAGGTAACGTTGTCTTTGAGGCAGTTTTGCCAAGATAAATGTGGGTGGCAGCAAAGGTCAAAGCGACTTAGCCTTAAAGTGTTTCTGTCGTTGTAAAAATATCTCTAACAGAAACATGCTTGGAACATTTCCCCTTTTAAATGTAATTTATAATTGCTGCTTTAAAAACTGTAAGGATGGATCTTATTCTGAGCAAAAGAATACTGTAAATATCCTTGTCATACCTTGAATAAATGGGTTCCTTTTTCTATAATTTGTCTTGGTGTCTCTTTACATGCACATTTTAAGAAACTGTTTTGACAAGTTTTCCTTTTGAAAGGTTGGGGAGTGCATGCTGATACTTCTTGGCTATCTTACACTGTTGTGACTTTCATAGGAAATAGTGTCTTTGGTTAATCTTAAATAGAAAGGTGGCCTGCAATAAACCTTTTGTGTAAACATCCCCCTAGTTATTCGGGTTCCAGTTTCTAACACATCACAACATGTGGAAAATACAGTTACATGGGAAATAATTTCTTTGCTAAACTACCTCCTTTCCTTTCTGAGGAAATAACTGTGAAACTTCAGGAGAAAAAGGGCACGGAGGCTAGAACTCAGAGCAGGTGCTATCCCCTCTGCTTTCAGTTTAGCTCAAGGATATGAGTGTGAGTTCTCCGCAGCCTGGAGCGTGGCCTGATAGGCAGGTTTGCTGCTCTGGGGTGATCTGCAAGCTCGCAGCCCACGGGTGAGGATTTCCACAGAAGGCATAGAACAGCATAGCAGGGGTTTTAATTGGCTATTGAGGTGGCATGTTGGTCATATGTGCTGGTTGATGCCCTAAAAACTTGTCTAAAATTCCAACCTGTCAACTTTTACCAAAATTGGTCTATCCTAAGAATTCCAAAGAATGGCCACTTCCTAATTTAAAAGGAAAAAATCCCAGCTACATCTAGTTGTATTTGTAAATGGTGGGAGGTATGATGTTAATCTGTACGTAGCTCATGGCCGGTTACTTTCAGTGAACAGTTGCCATTTATTGACCAGGAATACTTTGACTTTGTTACTGCTCACAATATGGTACCACTGCAGTATATATAATCTGTGTCAAAAACCTTGTAAAGAAAGGTATATTGTCTCCGCAGTAGAGATCAAAGGCAAGGTTTTATTGGATTATTTTAAAATTGTTTCCTCACCAGATTTCAAGGTACAAACTCATCTAGTTGTTGCCTTTCTGGTTCACTTGATTATCGGGCTGGAAAGTAGAGTCCACATCCCTAAACCGTCTGTAGTATAGGTGTCTCCCTGCTGTCTCTTCAGATGTTGCTGCCAACCCTTGGACTCCTGTCTATTTCTCTGGCTGCCATGTCCTGGCTTGCTTTGGCTGTTACTTCTACCCTTCAGATTGCCGTTACCAGCATGACAGCACTAGAGTGTTGTTATAGACTAACTTACCCAGGAGAATTTGACCTTTGTGGCCCATTTGTTCTGAGCTTTACCTCTCTAGTATTGGTCTTGGCATATTAAAGCATCTTTCAGAAAACTTGGATCTCATGCTCAGTCCAACAAAGAGATTCTGCAGCTGCTGTAATCCCTCGCCAAGCCTAATTTCAGCACAATTATTGTATGCTAAAAGCATCCTTCTCCAATATGTAACAATTTACAGAAAAATGACAGGAGTAATTTGGTGTAGAATTCATTATCTCAAACTGAGTCTTATGACTGATAAATTGAGATATTGCTCAAGATCTATTTATAGAACTGTATTTATGCGGTTTTTACCAGCCATTAATGTGTCGGTTTACCTGCTGAAGTAGCTCGTGTCTGGAGGTGTACTTGCTGAAAAGCATGCAGGTTCCTATCTACTTTCAAGCAGACACAGTTTTTTCACTGAAAACTCATAAAAGCATCGGGTTCCTAGCTCTCTTACCACATACAGGAATTTCTCTGCTGAAAAGGCAGCGGTATCTAACCTGCCGTTTGGTACAGCAGCGTAGGTCTTACTAAGATCCCGGAGCCAAGGCGTTTCTAACCGAGAACTGGCCTCCTGCACCATCGAGTTGACGCTGTAGCTGCCAAGGGCAAAACGTAGCTCGCCCGCAACCTCTTGATTTTCCCTCTTTTCGGTGCCTCGTTCTGAACCTGCGTCCGGGTGCGAACCGACCCTGCTGCCATCGGGGGCGGCGGGCGGGTTGCGGGGCTGCCCGCGGCCGCCAGGG